GGGCGTTTCAGGGGTCTGTAAACGATCTTTTTTTTATTAAGCCTTCAGAGTGGGAAGATTTTGAAACCCCGTTTTCGCGTTTAAATCTTTAAGCTCTAACCGCATTTTTTTTTTTTACACGCATGCGTCTTAGCGTCGCCTCTAAACACGCATGCGCGACACAGTATCACCACAACAATGGCGCCGTACTGTGTTGAATGGTTGCTGCTAATGCTACTCACCCTGCTGTCGGGCTTACAACAGAATCTTCTTCTTCTGGAATATCTCCAGGAAGAACAGAGCAATATCGACGACATAGTTCATCACCTCAATTTGACTGAACCACGAAAATGGACCCGCAGGGCCATTTTCCGTTTTTCCGGTTTGGTTGTTGTATAAATATTACTGCGCATGCCCAAGATTTCGTTGCCTGTTTTCGCCTATTTTTGCTTTGGCACCACAGCGCCACTTACAGGCCTGGCATACATTTTGCAGCGTTTTAATGCACGTGTGGTCGATCACATTTATTTTATGTCTCCGTCTTTACGACAAACGTTCTGGAAAATATTAGCGTTTCGTGTTCGTTTTGACTTCGTGTGGACGGGGCCTCAGTTTGGGGACAGCTAGTAGGAAGAAGGTTTTGTTAAGCTGTTCCCCCACCTTTGGTTTCGATCTGTTTTGGGCAGATAAAACTCTGACCTAGCTCGTGTATATATATATTTTTTTTCCCGAATCTGCTTTAGGTAGACTTGGGAGGTTTGGTGCACCCTTTGTCTTTTCTTTTGGGTTGTTTTGTGTTAAACTTGGCTGACTGGTTTGGACAGTTTGTAATCTAATTTGCTCTTAACCATTCTTGACTTTCTTTTCCCTTTTCTTTTGTTTTAATTGGGTTAAGCTGCATTGTGTTTTGGGTCTGTTTGACCATCTTTTTGTAATAAATTCCACTTATTTGCTCTGGACACATTTTTATGTTACCTCCCCAGAATCCCTAGACCAGGCATCCCCAAAGTCGGTCCTGGAGGTCCGCTGTCCTGCAGGTTTTAGAGGTTTCCTTGCTCCATCACAGCTGATTTACATTGATAGTTGATTAACAGGCTTTTGCTGAACTGCAATCATCAGAATCAGCTGTGCTAAAGTAGAGAAACCTCTAAAACCTGCAGGACAGCGGCCCTCGAGGATCGACTTTGGGGATGCCTGCCCTAGACCTTGGGGGCATAAAAGTGAACTGACAACAAAATATACAAAAATGTACGATTATAAATAAGGAATTCACACTCTTTTTCAGAACTAGTGCTTCTGTTTTATGTGCGGAAGAGATAGTTGTAAGTCTTTACAAGCCATCTAGGGGTCTTTTATGTGACTAAATCTATTTAACTAATAATTAATTCATTTATTTTATTTAACTTTGGGAATAATAAAGTATTTTTGAATTGAGTTGATCTGAATATCACTATTATGCAGAACAGTTTCTTTGCCATTATGAAAAATGTTATTTTGTTGTGCTGTAATTTCTTTATTTCATTATTCATCCTTGGACATTTCTTCTTCTTCTCTATATATTTTATGGAACTGCTATCACACATAATTTTTGTTGTTGTTGTTGTTTACTTGTATAGAAATCTGAAAATGTATCTTAATTCAGTTAAAAAGGAGAAAACCTCATTTAGGGGTCCTATTCCGGCAGCAGAGGCTCGGTGGGTGTGGTTGCCTTCCAGCGTCAGAGGAAGATTTGTTTCCGAGAAAGATGAAAATTCCACATTCCAGCTGTTACCCTCAGGAGTTTTACTGGACCGAAGATCCTCTTTCTGTGCAAGGCTCTATAGTGCAACCAGATTGGTTGCATGTGTGACATTATTTCACTGTGGTGGGTGTAACTAGTTGTTTAAAGGAAAAGTTCGGTCACATTCAGAATACAGACTACTGAAAGTACTTTAAGTATGAAATTATTACATCCTGTTCAATAAATTAGTGTTTTTAATTAAGAGTAACTTCATTTGAATGTGCTTTACTGGAGGCATCCATGTTTGTGAATGAACACTACTGCCACCTACTGGTTTGTGTTGCAAAGTGCGGTATTGGCTGTTAGTAGCAATCAGCTATTATCCAAGTCATCTTGAAATCATTCTTCTTCAAAATGTTGGCTACATATGACGTGTTTTTTCTCTGGCCAGAGGTTCGATGGTAAATCCTCCCTCTTTAAGTTTTTGCAATCCTTACTGTAGTCAGCAGCAATGGTGTACTTTGCAGGAGGGTTTAGGGAGGTCAGAGCCCCAAAAAACATGTATATTACAACAGCTTTAATTTAATTGTTAGAAATGCGCAACTAACTTAAATACCATTTAAGAACTGTGTTCCTGAGGCCTCAGTGGGAAGTCTGTGGGAAGGAAAAAGTGTGGCAGAAAATGCTGCACAGCGAGAAGAGGTGACCGGACCCTGAGGAAGAATGTGGAGAAGGGCTGATTCCAGACCTTTGGGGGATCTGCTGAAGAAGTGGACCGAGTCTGGAGTAGAAACATCCAGTCGTGGGCAGGAAATGGGCTACAGGTGCCCGCATTCCCCAGGTCAAGCCACCTTTGAACCAAAAACAGAAACTGTTGCTCAGTTTTGCATGACATTTGGAAATCAAGGTGCCAGAGTCTGGAGGAAGACTGGGGAGAAGGAAATGCCAAAATGCCAGAAGTCCAGTGTCAAGTAGCCACAGTCAGTGATGGTCTGGGCCGCCATGTCAACTGCTGGTGTTGGTCCACTGCTGTTCAATGCAGCTATCAGGAGATTTTGTAGCACTTCATGCTTCCATCTGCTGAAAAGCTTTATGGAGATGAAGATTTCATTTTTCAGCACGACCTGGCACCTGCTCACAGTACCAAAACCACTGGTTAATGGTTTACTGGTATCACTACTCGATTGGCCTGCCAACTCTCCTGACCTGAACCCCATAGAGAATCTGTGGGATATTGTGAAGAGAAAGTTAAAAGACGCAGGACGCAACACTGTGGATGAGCTAAAGGGTGCTATGGAAGCATCCTGGGCCTCCATAACACCTCAGCAGTGCTGATTGCCTCCATGCCACGCCGCATTGAAGTAGTCATTTTGCAAAAGAATCCCCAACCAAGTATTGACTGCATAACTGTACATAATTATTTGAAGGTTGACTTTTTTTGTATTAGGAACACTTCTTTTATTAGTCGGATGAAATATGCTAATTTTGTTAGATAGGAATTTTGGGTTTTCATGAGCTGTATGCCAAAATCATCCATATTAAGACAATAAAATGCCTGAAATATTTCAGTTAGTGTGCAATGAATCTAAAATAGATGAATGTTCAAGGTTTATCATTACATTATGGAAAATAATTAACTTTATCACAATATACTAATATTTTGAGAAGGACCGGTACATTGGTAGCTGTAGTTGTCAGTAGGCGTAAATTTCTAGGTCTTCTTCTTCTTCTTGGATTTATTGGCGGTTGGCCACAAACATTTAGTAGCATTACTGCCACTTACTGGTATGGATGTGTGGTTAATGATGGACTATCTACTAATAAACATATATATAATTTCTGTTCATATCATAGACTCATTCCCCGTCTCTATAATCAGATTCTATGAAATAATTTAGTTTTCTTTAAAAATCGAATAATTATTTGTATATGTTTACTCCCCAAATTCGTCCTCAAAATATCTAATAAATGTATATGTTCCTTAATGCATTCAAACTCTCTCCTCGTATATCTTCTCTCGCTTTCATATTTATGACATTCCAGTATAACATGTTTTATTGTTTCATATTTTCCACAGTAATCCCATTTGTCAGTAGTATGCTTTTGAATTTTGAAAAGTGTATAATTAAGTCCTGTATGCCCACATCTTAAGGTTGTTATCACTCTCTCCTCCTTTCTATTTCTTCTTTTTCCTACCATCTTCTAAAATTAATAAAACCACCTTCCTGTTTTTTCTTCATCCCACTTTTTTTTTGCCATTTTTCCATCAATTTTTCTTTAATAATTTTCTTTCCCTCCGATTTACTTTTTTTAACTGTAAAACTAATAGGATTTTGAACTGCTGTTTTTAGGGCTGGGCGATAAGACGATACGTATCGTACGGACGATAGAAAAGTGTCTATCGTGCTAATTCTATTCTATCGTTTCTATCATTTCTAACACAATTGTATCTCGTATTCATGCAAATATTTCCCATGGTAGACTACGACAATCGTATTAGTGTAGCCACGTAGCCTACACACAGCTTATAAGTGATAAACAAGATTTTTTTTTTTATCCACAAAGAAGCGGCGTCCTGTGGTTTTTGCAACATGACGCTTCTTTACGGGTTTTTGACTCACACGCGGGTTTTGCGACATGCTTTACGTTACTTAACTCATGAGAGATGGAGACGCAGGAGGCTGAAGTATTAAACCCGTGGTCGCAACAAACAGAGACAGCTACGCAGGCAACCCAAGATAAAGAAATTTTACCAAAAAGAGGGGGCACATCTGTTAATTTGGTTACATTTTGGATTTAGCAAGTCCAACAAGGAGCAGACAACATTTGCAAACTATGCTACAAGACTGTTCCCTTACCCGACGGAAACACGACAAACCTCTTCTAATACCTAAAGAAGAACCACAGTAATTTAATTTAAATACCCGTAGGATTTGAAAAAATGTGAAGGATACTGTAGCCATACTTCTACCTCATCTTATGCATATATATTGTTGCACTACAATTTATTTTTTCAAATTTTTGACAGTTCTATAAATGTCACTTCAAAACAGAGCTGAAAAAGTAAGCAATTATATTATTTTGTCATATTTTTCAGAGATTTGCTGAAAATGTACTTAATTGGGGCATATTGCGATATATATCATTATTGTGATATAAAATAGTCCATATCATGATATATGATTTTTTCCATATCGCCCAGCACTAGCTGTTTTTATCTGCTCTCTTGTTTCCAGTTTCTAAGTCATTTGGTACTTTCATTTTTCCGAGGGTCCTTGAACGCAGCACACGGAGTGATTCACAACCTGACCGCACGTAAACACTCCTGCGCTGCGCTCGCTGCTTTCCCACGATGCAGCGCGGTTGCACACAACATAGCCATCTTGTCAAGGGAGAAGGAGGGAGCTGTCGGCGGTTACTTGTTTTATACGGAACGTTTTGGGGCTCCGTTTGTTTTTCAGCGGTAAAAAGCTTCGAAGCGAAGCTGTTTTCGACGGACGTCCTGACGGCCGTGGAGTAGCTGAGACGTGGGTGGGCTTTCCGCGGAGATGTCTCGCACACTTGTACCGACGTAGAGGGGGGAGTGTGCCGCTGCAGCCACTCGGCTCGAATTGTTAGCTAGCTCACAGAGTGAAGGGCCTCCTTAGCTCAAAGTAGCTGCTACAGCTGGACAACACACGGCCGGCCGACAAGTGGACAGCCGAGGAAGAAGCAGTCCGGTCCGGACTGACTCTCTGTTTCCTAGCAGCCGTCATCCAGACAGCTTTTATCGGTGTCAGGACCCGCGCTGCTGGACGAGGGAGGCAAGAAGTGTGGCGTTCGGGCTTCATGAAACGCAACAGGAGACAGAGAGGAAGAGGATGGCGCAGATTCATCTTGATTACAGCTAAGTAGGAGGAAGAGGAAAACAGACCCAAGTGTGCTCTTAAATATGATCTAAGCTTTGTGGGACATTAGTCGGAAAGATTCCCTTTGACCGAGCAGAAAATAAACAAACCAAAACACAGCCGCACGGGATCAGACTGGCCAAACATGTCGAAGATGCCGGCCAAGAAGAAGAGCTGCTTTCAGATCACAAGCGTGACACAAGCCCACCAGGGTCCTGGGGGGCCCACGGACGACACCGAGAGTCTAGACGATCCGGACGAGTCGCGAACCGAAGAGCCGTCGGAGATCTACGAGGCATCTCGGGCTGAGTACGAGTCCGCGGGTGAGAGGAGGTCCTCGGTTGAAGCCCTGAATAACGCCGGGGAGGCGGAGGCGCATTTGAATGCACCTCAGGCCTCTCAGCAGTCCGGAGAGGAGTTGAGAAAAGTTGGATCCGTTCATGGAGGTCAGCAGCAGCAGCAGCAACAGCCCTCTGCTCCAGCCAACACAGGGAGCTGCACATCACGCTTCAGGGTCATTAAACTGGATCATGGTACTGGAGAGCCTTTTAGAAGAGGGAGGTGGACATGTACCGAGTTCTACGAGAAGGACTCGGAGACCTCTCACCATGCTCGGACTGACAGTTTGAGACACAGCAGTGTGACTCTGGATCCTGTTGGGGAGAGGGACAGTGGGCTTGGACCCTCAGTGGGGTCAACGGCCACACACTGTGGTCCTGGTTTAGGGTCTGCAGCAGAAGGATCCCACTCTTCAGTACCGCAGCAGCATGTCAGTGGCGTTCCGGCCACTCACAGTTCTTTCTCCAGCGTAAAACCAGGAGCTGTCCCTCCTCAGTCATCCATGGGGGGTCTCCAGCCTCATCCCGCTCAGAACGTGCTTCCTGTTGGACAGAACGACCTGCTCCACTCCGATTTCCTCCTGCAGAAGTCCCCGACGATGCCACCTTCTTACCCGCCACAGCAGCCGGTTCCTGGGGTCCATCCCGCCGGCAGCCAGGCGGAGTTTTATCAGCAGCCTGCGTCCGTTCCCCCTGGACAGTCTCTTCCGGTGGTCGGACAGTTCCCCGCTGCGGTTCTGCCTTCAGCTTCTTCAGGGAGTCAGGTTGGAGACGTTAGACCAGCAGCTCCTCAGGCTGCGGAGTTCAGAGCTCCCATGTTGGTGGGTGGATCGACCCCGCCGTCACAACAACAGAACACAGTTCAGTACCCCCTGGCCGGACAGCCTCACCCCACATCTGCTGGCGTGCTAAACGTGCCTGCAGTGAACGCGGGTTCAAGCGCGCCCACCAGTGCGCCCAGTGCCTCTACTGCAACCGTGCCAAATGCGACAGCCTCCAGTTTGCCTCCTGGTCTAATAGCAACCAGTAAGACTCCAGGCGCCTTAGGCCCTACAAGCGGAGTGCTGGAGGCAGGTGGAGGAAGGAAGTCAGAGGGAGGAGTCATTCCACAATCTCCAGTCATACCTGGGAGGAAAGCTGGGAAGCCCCTCATGCCGAAGGACCTGCAGCTCACCTCTCCTGTCACCTCTCCTCTCCTGTTTGAAATCCCCATACCTGTGGACGGGGATGAGGACAGGTAACACATTCCTGCTGTCTTATGTGAAGAGTTTAAAGGTCCTCATGCCTCTTAGGAACGCCAGGATTGCTATGTGTTTACACATGTTTTAGAAATGCAGTTTAAAAATAATCTGACATAAGAGTGGAAACATGCAGCGAACAGCATCAGGCTGTGATGACAGGAAGCCGAGAAGTCAAAAAGACACCACAGCCACTGGTTGCCCATTAATCTGGTCAGATAGACCTGGTTTACCTTTACTTCCGTATGGATGGGTGGAAGAGAGAGGCGGAGCAAAGGAAGGAAATGTTCCTTTCTTGTTTGATCAGGAGAAAAGAAAGCAAAGATGATGAACACCTCAGGCCAGAACATGCAACAAGTAGAAAACTTATTTAAAACCAAAAGTGTCTGTGTGAGTTAGAGTTGATAACGTCAACATTTTCTCCAAGGAAAGATTTGATGACAGCCAACCTGGTTGATTTTTTACATCCGGTTTTCTTTGCATGCTACAGGTGTGTTGATGAAGGTAGTAATTTGGGATGCAGCAGGAAAATCAAGGAGTTGTGAAAACGGATTATTTCCTTTAATCAGAATAGGTGGAGTCCAAATGATATTGATGCAATTTTTTTTAAAGACTCTGCTGCTGCAGAAAAAATAGATGAACTAATCGTTCCGGTGATGATTGGAGGAAATTATGTAGAAAAGTCCTCCCCTTTTTCTTCAGCCCTATTTTGCCTTTGCCTCCTCCCATTTTCATGATATAAAATGACACAATAAGTTACAATTTAGAGGTACTTATAGTCTCGTTACACACCAGTAACTCCTTATAGTTGCATTTAACGTGTTTATGACAAATTAAGGCACCCAACCTGTGTTGTTTTTGTTAATTTTGTCTTTTTATGGTTGCTTTTGTTCCCTTTGTGAGGAAATATACCCTTTTTGTGTGTATTTACCATAATATTTCATCACTAGCCATTTATACAATTAGTCAACAAGCTAAAGCAAGGGAAGTGAGCGAAGGTGGAACTTCCTGTGGAGTTGGGAAGAAAAATAAATAAGTCATAGATCAAATGTAATACGCTGCATAAGATGTTTGATTTTAAGAAGGATAAAACTTATATTTTGATAGGTAACGAGTTAGACGCTGATGCTGGAGCTACATTCTTATGTCACTGATGAGTCGATAAACGCCTGAGTACATGTCCTTACTAACAGTGCTACTGGTGTTAGCAATAGTTTTAATCCCTATCCTCCCAGCTGTCAGTTTTTTTCGAGGCATTACAGCATGTTTGGACCTTGTTTACTATTCCCATCAATGGCCACCATCTGGTTTTCTGGTACTTAAGACATGCTTCCAATAGATGGCGCCACATCTGTTTATGTCAGCCCATTGCACCCGGTGCTGAAGTTCTATTAAGGCTTAAACAGGACCAGGACACTGTTGAACACTATCAGGACAGACGTTTGCAGTATAGATTATCTGGTCTTTTGGTACAGGCATATATTTACATTTGTGAAAGCAACACTGCACATTTTTGACCCAATTAGTGGCTTAATTTGTAATATATGAAATGATTTTTCAGGTCAATATTCCACAATTGGTGCGTATGGATGATTTGTGCGGGCTGCTCGGCTCCAAAACTCCCCTGCATAACTTTAGAAGCTCGTCGCTGTCACTGGACGGGTCTTGTGACTCAGAGTGCCGCTTTACAGCAGTCGGAGCTTCCATTAAACACAGAAGCTAACTACGCTAAGAGTTGCTTTGAGGCAACAAAACAGATATAAGCCTTATCTGATCAGATATATATTGGTTCATTGTAGGATTTCTTCTAGAGAGGTAAATGTTGCCTTATCTTTACCAATAACTCCATCACTTCTCAGTCTGTTTGTCCAAAGCGGTCTGATAGCAGATTCTAAAACACGGAGGAATGCTGTTTCATTTTGCCACAGTGCAGTGGTATTAGTTGCTTTCAGGGGCGATGAACCTGGAGGTTATAGGTCTAGCACCCCTTGTGGCCAAAAGTAACAGTGTTGCTTTAAGAAATTGAAAATCAACCATAAATGATGAATCTGAATGCATGCAAGTATAGGCCAGTGTTGAAATAAGAAAAAAAAGAAAAGTTTTCACCCAAAATACCTGCTGGCTGATGTACCGGTGTTTTGTCAGACCAGCATACCCAAAGTCAATACCTGTGGTCCCGTTAGTTTTGTACAAAAAATATAGTTTAAACTACCTCGACGGGCGTTTATCCCTTTGGTCATGTACAAAAAAAACAATTGAATAACTTATTTATTTGTTGTTTTTTGAAGCGTATGGTGATCTGGGGCCTGTTTCAATAAGGAAGTTCAACCAACTCTGAGTTAAAACTTGAACTCTGAGTTGACTTATCCTGAGATTGGAAACTCTGAGTTTTGGGTTTCAGAACAGCTGAAATGAGTTAGTTCAATCAACTCTAAATTGACTGACTCTGAGTTAAGCGCGTGCACCACAACTATAAAAAGCCATTATCAATGGAGCACAGATATTACGAGTCACCATTGCAACAGCGTCAGACAAAAAAAGGGGTGCATATTTCTCACCAGCAGCACTGGATGTGCTTATGCAAGCATATGCAGAATTTGAACATGTATTTAAAAAAAAAAGCAACATGGCTGCAGCGGCGAAGGAGAGAGAGTTAGCTTGAGTGAAAATAGCTGCTCGAGTCAATGTGTAAGTTTAGATTTTAATTACGGTACTTTTATACAGTGTTGGGTGTAATTATTTAAGTTACTTAAGTCATATAAATACTGTAATTAAATTAAAGACTATAAAACAATAGTGGATTTAATATCAAATTTTAAAAGGTATATTTTGATTTGAACTTTCTCCCTCTAGTTACACACTTTGGTCAATTTAAGATTAATTCATGCAATTGAATATTGTTTATTTGAAAGCATTAGAGGCGCAGTTTCTTGTATTGTTCAAGTGGTTGAGGTTGATTTGGGATTTAGAAAGTAATTAATAAGTAAGTAAAACAAATTAGTAATTAGACCAATACTTTCTAGAGACAGTAATTAATACATTAATCTAATTAGACTTGTTGAAGATAAAATTTGTAGTTGGTAATTAGAAAGCTTCCTGGAGAGGTGGCGAAACGTCTTCAAATCTTGAAAACCAAGTCCAGTGGATATTTTTTGAATTTTTACGGAAAGTTGGTAATTAAGAACTATTTTAGAGTAACTTACCCAACTGTTATAATATCAGAGGTGAAACTGGAAGAACAGTATTTTATTAAACCTAATTTAGTTTTCATGGATAGGTGCAATCCTGCAGGCATCAAAAGAACATGGCAGCAGCTGAAAATGAAATATAAAAACATACTTCAAGCAGGTAAGCCTTGAGCACATCATGGGAGTAGAGTAGCTACCTGGCTTTACAAACAGGATCATCCATAAAAGGACATGCCATTTCATTCCCTTTGATGCGCTCTACGTGACTGAAATGTGTGCAATGAATACTGTATGTCCCCAAAGAATCAATGAGGTGTTTAAACACCACTTCCTCTTTAAAAAAGGGGAGGAGACCAAAATAAACTCCGGATTTTCTGAAGAAAACCTGCTCCCGACCAGGTTAGGTTCACAGAGTAAATTGCCATGGTAACTGACTCTGAGTATAAGTAACCCCTCTTTCAGAAACGGGCTTGACTTACTCTGCTTTCTCAGGTTTAACTTACCTCCCTTTCTGAAACAGAAAACCCAGAGTTTCCCTCATTTCAGGGTTAACAAACTCAGAGTTTTCACTTAACCTCCTTTCTTCCTTTCTGAAACAGGCCCCTGAACTTAAATTTTTTCTTTTGTACATGACTAATGGGATACACATCCGTGGAGGTAGTTTAAACTATATTTTTCGTACAAAACTAAAAGGATACATAAGGGACTATCAGAACTAGCATCCGCATTGACTATGGGCAGTGGTGTCAAAAATACACACATTTGTTGCTTAATTAGAAGTATAGAAGTATAACGTAACCTTAAAAAAAACAAAAAAAACAGCCAGATGCCACTTTATGAATTTAAAGCTCAATTTTTCGACTACTTGTTGGTCTCTGTCTCCATCTCCCGATACGCTCTCTTCTGTTTCCGACCTTTCAAACATTTCAACATCTTTTTCTGAATCCATCATCGTAGCATGGCATAGACAATTCACGTTTGCAGTTTGAAGAACACCTGCTTGCTTCTGATGATTTCCTTTAGCTAACCAATGAGTGTTTGCGTTCTATGACTCATCCAATCACACTAGTTTTCACTAGATGTGGATGGAGCCAATGATCTGCATTGGATGGAGAACATGACGGGAAATAAATATTTATAAACATTAAACCGAAGCCAAGAGTAACGAGTAACATTTGTTTTAAAAATGTAAGGAATAGAAAGTACAGATACTTGTGTGAAAATGTAATGAGTAGAAGTCAGAATTAGGAAGAAAAATAAGTAATGGAGTAAAGTATAGATACCTTGAAAGTGTACTTAAGTACAGTAGCAAAGTATTTGTACTTCGTTACTTGAGACCTCTGACTATGAGTATGCTGGTCTGACAACACACCGGTCTGAATGAAAGTTTGATAGGCTGATCAAACATTAAGTATGTCAGCCAAAAGCTTTGATGCACCTACAGGTAGTACCATTTAATTTTAATGTTGATTTGTTAAGATAAAGGACAAAAAAAGTCAATGTGACTTGGAAGGATTTCCATCTGTACCAGGTGATAAAAAGATTAAAAAGGAAGTAGAGTTGGCAAACAAGCGCAGATCAGCAGTGAATGCAGGTTTTAATGAATGTGCAGCAATCGGGCAGGTCGGTCTTCCTCTATCATGCTAGCTAGTATTAGCGATAGCTAATAGCATCCAAAGGCGTCCACAGAGAGATTCTAAGGTTGCATTCAAAGAGGAGAAAACAGCTGATCAGTCATGAGATGTGCTTTTACTCTTGAATGAGAGTCAAACACCACCTGAAGTGAGCTTTAAATGTTTCTTTCAGTAATT